CCATTTAAAATCAGGGGGGCTTGAACAATTGAACAAAAAATAATTGAGAAGGTGTTGCGGTTGGCGTTGGCATATTTAAGAATAAGAAAAATGTACAAATAAGACAACGTAAACAAACAAAATTGCACCGGTCACACTCCTCCAGCCACCCCCATGATTGCAAATGTTTGAGCCTTAAAATAATCTTATAAATTATTATCGAATGTCTGAAAAAATACACAACAAGGTTTAAAATAATATATTCATTATCATTTTAAGACCACCATGTAACTAAGTTATTAATACTCAATTTAAATTTAGTTACATGTAGCAATATTGCAATATGGTAGGCATAAGTCACCCCGCACGTTGTTTTCAAATAAAATATAATTTATATATATTTCACATTATTTTAAAAATTACATCGTCTTTCATCACGTCTAAAACAATGTTCTAATTTTAAAATATGCTTGCAAATCAACAGTCAATTTATTATCATATATTATCAGCTAAAATTCATTTCGTGGTTAATAATTATTAACTTTACAATCATTGTGTATTCTGAACATGTGCAGTGGAAACGTACATATATATAGGTACATATTGAACTGAATTATCTCGCCCGGATGAGCCTCAGTGGTCTGGAGTGCAGGCTTCAAACCTGTAGCCGATTAGCGTCGGAGCGGTTCGATTCCGCCTTCTGGGCGGTATATTGACAATTTGCTTTCGTTTGTATTTTATTTCACTAAAACCATCTTTATTTCCCATGGAAGTTATATTCTGCTTGTTATCAATCCAAAAACATTTCACAACCGAATAAATATCGTGTCTGGCGTTTTTTTCTGCTCTCTACAGGGCTGCAGGCTCTCTGGGTACAACAGAAGTAGCGCCCTCATGCGACAGCTCTGTGAAACATATGGTGCAGAGACTTTTGGCAATATTAGACTCTTTTTGCTCAACTTGGATAATGGCAGTAAATATGACTAAAACACACATTATAGTTTTTAGACGTGGGGATACTTAAAAAGGAGTGAAAATGTTTTTTTAAATGGCAATCCTGTAAATACTGTTGGGTACTATAAATATTTGGGTTTACTTATTTCAAGTAGAAACACTTGGGGCAAAGCAGTAACAACGCTTACACAACAAGCGCGAAAGGGCATGTACACAATTTTTCGTATGATAAGAAAAACTAGGAGCTTGCCTCACCAAGATTATTTTAAATTATTTGATAGTATGGTTTTGCCTGTTTTAAGCTATGGGGCGGAAATATGGGGGCATAGCAAATACCAGGTGATGGAAAGAGTACAGCGAAAATATTGTAAAGCATTTTTGGAGGTGAAATCATCAACACCCGATGAAGTAGTTTTGGGAGAATGTGGCAGGTTTCCAATTTTCTTGCATACATATAAGAACTGTCTGAAATACTGGTTTAAACTACAAAAAATGTCTCAAAATAGAGTCACTAGACAAGCATATGATTTGGCTATTTCACTTGATAATAATAATAGGGAAACTTGGGCAACAAAAGTAAAATATCTATTATCTGTGCATGGGTTCGGGGAGGTATTGCTATGGCAGCGACCAGGAGACTTTGATGCATTTTTACAACTATGTATGACCAGAGCATTTGATATATTTAAGCAAGAATGGTGGGGGATGTTGTCTCAAAAGAAAAGCTGCGGACATATCGAAATATCAAAACTTCATTTCACCCAGAAGTATATTTGTATTGTCTAGAAACTTATAAATTAAAAATGGCTCTTGCTTGTATCAGGTGCTCTAGTCATAGGCTAGAAATAGAACAGGGTAGATTTGTGGGACTGGATGTAGAACAGAGAATATGTAAAATGTGTGAATCCCTTGAAATAGAGAATGAATTCCACTTCGTTTTAGAATGAAAACATTAGAAAAAAATTATTACCCTCATGGTCATATACTTATCCAACGTTAGAAAAGTTTTATTCCATTATGTCAAATAAATCTGACCAAATAATTACAAAACTGGCAATGTTTGTACATAAAGCACAAATTCTGAGACAAGAATGTATTAACATGAAGTGACTTTTGACCTCAGGAAAGTATCAGTTATGTTTTTATTTTTCCATGTAAATTGTGAAATGAGCCGGTGGCCTTTAAGAACTAAATAAAGATTCATCAAAAAGTGAAACATATGAATGAATCGAAATTACAAGATTCACAAATACATGTAGTAGTACATTGTACATACAAATAAATGTCCACTTTAGGAAGTAATAATTGCATGCATTTATAAATACGGGGATTTACCAGATCAACCATAACTCAATTACTCTGACATTGATCTATACACGTCACCAGCCCTTGCTCTTTTGGAAATGATTTAAACCAATGAGTTCGAAGTTGACTATTGTTGACTGGATGTCTATTTCACGTTCTATTTTATTTACGCAATTGTCAGAAAATGGATTTGTTGCTCGATATGTGATACGCAAAATTCGTGAAATTCGGATCTTACGATTTGCATCACCAACATCCCTCAAAACCATGACGATGTCATCTCCGAATATTAGTATGTGACGACGAGTTTTTTGTTCTGTTTTTTTCTCAGTTTGTGAATTTTATGACAACTAAAATGTGCGAAAAACTAAAACAAAATTATAAGTTGCTGTACAAAATTAATGCCTTGAATAAGGTTATGATTTACGACGGTGAAAACAAGTTGTTATTATTATTATTCAATTTTTTGAAAACAGTAAAAGTTCATCTTCACATCATCGCTTTTGAATCGATGGCGGGAAAGAGTTATTCATTTTCACAAACTCCATTTTTTGTCTTTTAAACAATTCTTCAATACTGTATACAACCATTGTGTATTCTGAACATGTGCAGTGGAAACGTACATATATATAGGTACATATTGAACTGAATTATCTTGCCCGGATGAGCCTCAGTGGTCTGGAGTGCAGGCTTCAAACCTGT